ACATATGTGATACACAGTGCTATCGTTTAAGGTAATGAACTATGATGTTTTATTTTCATACTTAGTTAAAATTAGTAATTTCAAGTATTGAAGATATATCGGAAAAATCATTTCATATTGTTTCAATATGTTGCATTTTCAAAACTACAAAACATAATCTATGAAAGTTAAAAATATGCGCAGATTGCAGATATTTGTCTAAAGATGTATTCGAAACATTGTTTGCAAATGATAGAACAACCAGTTTAGTAGTGTTGAGAACAAGAACAATGCTTTGGGTAGAAATAACAAGTAAATCGATAAAGCTGTCAATTTTTATCATAAAAGATGTGTGTCATGCCACTGCTTACCGCCTCATGCCGGCTGGAATAAAAGTAGGTTAAGACAAGTCTAGGAATGCCTAAAAAAATATATGACATCGGTCCATGAAGTGGTCCAATGATAACTACAGATGTCTTGGGAAATGTAGATCTCCTATTTAGGGAGTATGGGATTGTAGTTATCTATGATTGGAAAAGTCAGGTAATATATCTCAAAATAGGTCTCATAAGCACAGCTGCATACGTTGTCGACTTTCTTCTCAACCTTTCGCTTGATTCTCACCCGTAGTTTTCATCCATCAAGTCTCACTTATTCTTTTCGATTTATAAACCCTATGTTTTGCTTTCAACCCCACTCTACTTTACATTTTGTTAACATCCTGTGTCTTGTTCTATTAGGAAGTGTAAAGTTTGAATCTATCCACAATCGCCTCAGGCCCTTACGTTATCTACAAGTGGCCTTCTCAATGTAAAGTTGATAGAAATATCTCTAGCATGGACGTTAATGTGTTTATTGAGTCTCATGCAATCGTTTTATTGAGTCTAATTAGTGTATCTCAGTACTGGTTTTCAATCTATTTCGCGTTTGTTGGTTCAAATGTTTGTTAGTCAACCCCACGTCGTTAAATTTTAGCTAATTTTATGCCATTTTTTGTCGATAATCTAACCAGTAGCTTAAATTTATTTAGTACCTTTTACACTCTCACTGTCAATGTTCCTAAAAGTAAACACCTTTTTCTCGTCACAGGATTATGTTTAAAATATTTTACTGGCGAATATAACAGTTTAGGACTTTTCAAAATCTATCTTCTGTTCCTTGGCTTAACAGTTCTTTACCAAATTAAGTATAAATTATCCCCTAACATGTTGCACATTACTGTCATCACAAAGCACTCATGTACCATCAAGCTTTGCAATATTTATTGTTTGAGATTCTTGTATTCTTGTATTCAATGAAATTAGGCTTGAACGTGTAAATGATTAAAGTTTTTTACACTATTAACGACGTATGCTTGTGGAAAATCTGCGTCTGATTTGATAAAAGTTGCATTAAAAATCAATATAAATCTTTTACTACAATTGTAAATGTCATTCCTAATTAACATCATGAACTTATGCTCCTGCATAATCTTGCAAAAAAAGACAAAGTACTTGCCTATCACTAACATTATTTACTACCTGTGGTTGAATAGTTGTGCTAATTAATTAGACAATTTTTTTGCAACTTTATTCTTAAATTTCGCTGTCAGCGTCAGTTTGAAATAAAAATTTATCATATGGTTATGATTTTTGTGAATTGATCAAATTTCTCACTTTACGATCAATGCTGTTTGGAAGAAAAATGAATGTTAGATAGACGGACATATATATATATATATATATATATATATATATATATATATATATATTTCCTATATATCTATACGCGATTCAAGGTTGGATCAAACTATGTTGGGTATGCATATAACCATTCTGAAATGTGCACATAAATCGAAAATGTATTTCTAATCGGGTAGATTAAATTCCTTTTGCACTTACCATATGTCTAGCTATTGTAAAATATATACATGCTTGGCATAGAAATAACATCATCTTGCTAAACATTGAAATATTTGCGGACTAGTATCAATCATTGAAGAGTGTACGTTTTAACTGAGGAAACCTATCACAGACTCAAGAAAATATGAAGACATTTTAAGTGTTTTTGTATTTATGTTGTCAGTTTTCGAATTTAATTAATCTATTCGGCATAATCTGTTGGCATGGTAAGTTTTTGAACTGATGCCTTTATGCTGCTCATATTTAAATTTTAATCGTATCTTAAACTTGCCAAGATTCACATCATGGTTTGCTTGAGGATACAGTAGGTGGATATCATGTCATTTCGGTGTAAATATTCTTTTCTTTTTAATGCTCATTATTGAAATATACTAACATTTCAACCGATTACATATATATTACTCATTGAAACTAAATAACCGATTCGGAGTAACTCTGGCGTTTGATATCCATCGGTACTAGATCTGATTCATAGTGAGGGACATCAACAGTGAGCTAAAAATATATCCCATCGAACAGCTTGAAATAAAATGAAATGTTTATTGTAGACTATATTGTCAGGAACGATCTAGTGTAATCAGTTTAGGAGATCGATTAAAGCATTCTTACTTACATTCAACTACATTTCACATAGTCTTATTTGACCATTTTGTGATTGATCTTCCTGGTGCAATCACTCTCATCAACGGACGAGTTGTTTTTGAAATCTGGGATAACCTAATTTTAAGATCTATCGGTATGGCTGGTTTTATTTCTAGGTGGATAGCTAAAACTATGCGACCAGTGGTTTATTGACTCAGGAATTATTTATTTTTAAGTTTTTCAACAAAATTAAGGTGATGAATTTGTTCCGATTGAAGGAGTTTTGACACAGTTCATCATCTGCTTAACCTCAGAATCACATGCATTATGTCAATCGTTGACCTTATCTGTTATTCATTCAATTTGTGCAGTTCATACTGTTACTAAACTATTTAACTATGGTACAATACAATACCGTCTGTTTTCTTTGTAGACCATTTCAAATATCTTATTTCCTCCTAAGATATCTACATGAATAATCGAGATTTCAGTAATATTGATGTTCTAATATATATATCCTATTTCCTTATATTCAAATTTCCTCCTGGCATCATTTCAATTTAAAGTGATCTTTTTTCATAAACGATACCTCATCAGTTGATTTCAGTCATCAGTATTTTCTTACTTCATGATTTATTCATTCTCTAGAAATCTATTAAGAAAGAGAAGTTTATAAACAGTCATATCGTGCCATACACTATTTCATATTAACTGGATTTGATCGATAAATAAGTCATCCTAGTAATTAAAATTTTCAGGTTACTGAGTTGAATTTGAGCCCTTCTGAAGAGAATGTCACTAGAACTAAACTGTTACTGGTACTCTGTGCAGCATTATAGTATTTCCCAAAATAACATAAAATCTGTGTAGTTGTTTTTTCTCCACGTCATAATGTTAAACAGCCGATGTTGTTTTCATTCAATTAACTTTCATGCATCAAACAGACTTTGAATAACTTTAAAAAAAAACATTTTTGCAAATAAACAACACGAAAAACGACAATAGTCTTAACATTTAATAAAATCTCTTTTTAGATATTGAAGAAAAGTTTTTCACTTTTTAAGTCCATTGGTTATCAAATCAATAAAAGGAACTGTTACCTACAATCAAAAACAATGTGATGCATTGACTGTATTGAATTCACTGGAATAGAGTGATATGTAAACACGACGATTGATACCTTCAACACTTATGTACAACAACCTACTAATCTAGCAGAGACTGAAGTAACATTCTGTGATTGTCAATAATTCCTGTTTGAAGACAGCTAGTGCTTTTTTCAACTAGGTATCAGTTGATTGAACAAAGTCATACTTTATAATTCGATTATTGAAAGTCAATAATTTTAACCGTTGAGCTTATTATTCAAGAATTCTGTTTTCATTACAACAAATCGAAAACAATGCACGTCATGAATCGACAGTTGATCGTCTAAACTGATGATAAAAATTTAACTCGATAATAGTTTTACATGAAAAATAAACTGCTAGTGTAAAATTCCTAAGTCACCAAATATCAAAATATCGATGAACAGCTGGTTGGCAAGATTGTTTATACTGATTTCATCAAAGTAATAAGCACTCAATTCGACATTAAGATTTAAAAACGAATATACCCTAGACGACAGCCAACAGTTAAGAGATTGTAAGATCACGGTTCATTTTGTAAATTTATGCATTAACCAGTAAAGTTTTTAAATCATCAATTGATCATTGTTGTATCAAATGACTAAATGGATGCAACTAAATACAAATTAAACAATTTATAGAAATTCAAATAGAGCAAATGAATGTAGAGACAGACAGACAGATACAATGCAGAACTTCGTACATAAGTATATCAGTTCAGTGTGCCATACCACGTCAGCACAGAAACGTAACTGTCAGTTCAAATCCAAGAGTGATAACGATAGTAGAATTATTAGCAGCAATGGAGAAGATTAGGGAGCCAAGGATTGTAGAAAACTTCTCTTAAGTAGAATATCTTACTTTAAAAGTCTAGATCTAAGGACAAAAAATAACTACCAAATTTGTGAAGTTTACTTAGAACTTTCCAATCTAATGTTCATATATATAACATTCTTTCTCATAATTATAAATTGATAGAAATCAAATCTAAGATAGATATGAATTTAACATTTAATAAGCTACACGATTAGTACAATTGTTCAATGTATTATTATTATATGATGTAAGGATTTTGTTTAAATAGGTTACCTTTTCTGTACTAATCAACTTTCAATATCTTACATGTTCTCATGTCATTAAAGTATAATTCACTTAAACTCTAAAATCCAAACACTTGCATTTTAATATTGTTGAATAGTTTAACAATATATTGTTTTAAACAATTTTACATTTCACTGTCATGTATATGTTTAGCATCCTTATAGGTTATAGAATTTCTTGTTTCTTTATTATTCAAGCATAATGATTGGTTGGTTGTTCAAGGTCATTCAGTATGATCACCATTTTGTTTGTTTCATTTAGACTGCTTTTTTAATTTCTCTTTTTTTTCCTGTAATTAATTTTTATGCAGTAAAATACCTAATGGAGACTGAAGAATTGGAAAATGAACTAATTCAATCAATTCGACCTAATTTAAGTGAATTATTACGAATATGGGATTATGTGGGTAAGATTTCTGATTTTTTGTTATATTGTCAAAAAATTCATTTTATTGTGTCTTTTTCTCATTGAACAAAAACTCCTTACTTCATTCTAAGAAAAAAAAATATGTATGTGTTTTCTAAAGAAATCACAGTATTCTTAGATTAAATCTGGGATTTCTTTTTTCTTCCGTATTCGAATGAATATTTCTCTTTGAGAAATATAAAGATTGAACTTAGTCAAGGGATAAATATCGTTGAGTATTTAAAAAAAAGTTTGAAATCTATAGAGAAGAGGAATGTATTTTTTAACTGACTATATAATTATGCGTAACACTATAAAACTCGACAGCCGCATTATTGTATTTGTTATGAGATATCATATAACTTCAACAGTTTTTAAGTGTAATTACTTGTTAATTTTTAGAAAAAAATTATTTGCATAATCGTAATAAAGTGACGCAAGTGTATATATCTGATATTTTTCATCAAATTATTTCTTCTAACGTGTTAGATAATCCGTTATAATTAAAGATTCCCATTGTGAATATTAGAACTACACAGATATGTGAATAATACTGTTTTCAATTTGATTGTAATCAGGCTTTATTCTAATATCCATAAATATTTATATGAAAATATTGTAACAATCAAGGCAATCTATAAGTGAGTCAATGACCACAATCGAAGAGAATACGTAACTATACATGATAGGTAGAAGTACAAGTGGATAGTAGGAAGACAGGTGTATTGTTAGTAGTGGTAAGAATAATAAAATACAGTACAATAAGAAAACAAAAGTTTTTCTCAATAGTTTAACATTGGAAGTAGTAGGTCAGACGTAGATGAGTAGGCTTACAATAATAATGAGTCGTGACTAGTGCATTTCAACCTTGTCGGGTCTAGGCAATAACTACCGAATACATTGGGTGAGGTCATGCAAAAACTTAGCTTGATCAAAGTCAGATATTAACACCGTTGGTTGCCGGCTCAGTGGTCTAGAGGTTAAGCGTTCGTGCGTGAGACCAAAGGTCCTGGGTTGGATTCCTGCTTGTGAGGGTCGTGGATGCGCACTGTTGAAGAGTCCCACTGTTGGGGACGTTAGATCCCCAGAACTCGCTTTATAAATGTCTTAATTTTGGATTTTATTCATAGGCTGATCAGTTGACCTTGAGATCACACTTCCAATCAGGATAATCCTTGGATGTGATTGGTTGCTGTGTTATTTTAGTGTGCTATTTTTGTGACTCCCAAGGACATTTCTGTGATGTATAAATAAACGCGATTTGTGTGCTTGATTCATTGTGTTTGCTGGGTGTTTGTTGAATAAATTTTCTACGCTATATCAAAACTTTTTCGTTTGTTCCTTCGGGTCAACGGATCAGAGTAGCATACCGTGTCACTGGTTCATTGTCTCGTTCTCGTTTATCGACTAAGGTGAACCAATAATAGTTTCAAGCATATCCAGTGACGAGCATAACACCCATACTAGGACAGTGTATCCAGGTTTCTAATAGAGGTCTAGCACTTATTGATTTTATGATTTCATTGAATAACCTCAAAGCTCTTTTATTACAAAAACTCTATTGTACTTCATTCTTCTTTCAACTAACACTACACCTGTTTTCTTACTACTAACCTGTACTTTTACCCATTATGTGTAGTTACGTAATCTATTTCACTGTGATTACTGACTCATAAATTGCTTTGGTTAGTTTAACATCTTCATATAAATATTCATATATATTACAATAAAGCCTGGTTACGATCTAATTGAAAACAATGTTGTTCACTTATTATCTATTGTTCTAATAATCTCTTAATGACATCAATTGAATTCAACTCTGCACAATTTCAATTATTGTTTTGCTTAGCTAACCTCATATTATTATGAAAATGCTCAATTCAGTCTAATTTTTTTTATGTTCATAACATCATCTATAATCTATTCTTCTATTTTTGCTTTCAATACCCATTTCATCCCAGCCCCTCCTACTTTGGTCTCTCTCTTATCCAAACTATAAGTTAATATCTTAACATGTAAAGTATGTGTCCGTTTTCTTTTACTGATGATTTACAAAGTTTTGTTAAAATTTAAAAATGAATCCATTTTAAACAAAATAATCATTACATATCAAGTAAAAACTAACTAATTAACTCTATGACCTCTCTTTTACACTTTTAAAGATGATTACCTTTTTTGATTATTTCAATTAGTAAAATATATGAGTAATAAAATATAAATTTGTTCATTGCATACAAATTGTTTGATTCTCAATACACCACCACTACATATTACATACAGTAAATAAAGTGATATGATTACACAGAGATTATGATTTATTTCTTGATTAATACAATTTAAGTGTAAGGATTAGTAGAGGTGGTTTTGAAATATTGTTTTATATTTTTTTTATGAGTAACTTCTATGGATAACTTAAGTTTAATTTATTTCTTGTAAATTATTCAATTTAATGATGATTTCATATTATGAAAGATTAATTTATATTTTTTTTGATTTTAGATAATATTCAGTTAAATGTACAATAATTTTTTTGCATTGAAAACCTTAACACTCTGTCATACATTCACACAGTATTCTAACCAAATATTCTCTGAAATGTTACGGAAATATATTTTCTGTGACCTTGAAATGCTTTTCTAATAAAATAAAAATCTGTTTGATAATTTAACCAAAAAATTTTGTAATTTTAAGCCTTATTCCCAATTAATTTATAGTAGGCAACTAGTTAGTTAGTAATACAACCTCTTGTATTTTGAAGTGGTTTAATTAGCTCAAAACTGAGCACATAACCTTAGCGATGATAAAAGAAGGCAGTTTTATTGATTTACAGTAGTGCACTGTAATGGTTACTTGCCTCAAGTTTCTTATCATAGGCTTTTAAAGTATAGTTTTGTTTAATTTTATGAATAAATATATGAAAACGTATTATTGTAATGATAAATCGTTTGATTATTTGTGTATATATTTCTTTTCGTTTTTCAATAAACATTTCAATGTATCAACAATTATAGGTTATAATAAATTGGAACGTTCACAACGTATACAACATTTTGTACAAAAACTACAAACGGTACTATGTGAAGTAATTAAAGAAGAGAATTCTGCACGTCTTTTAATGGAACAAAAAATTGAATTAAGACGTAGAGAAATTGCTGATATGTGTCAGCAATTAGGTTTAGCGCCATTTCTACCAGAACGTGGACTTACTTCCAGTGAATTAATGCGAGTATGTTAAAATTAATGTATTTAATTATCATTTTTCTATAGTTTATTAATCTGTTCTCAAATGTTTTAATTGTTTAAAAGGCTCTTTTTTTTACTGTCTTTTTACAGTAAATCTAAACATTCCGGTTGATTTAACAAAAGTCGAATTTAAATTTCATATATGTAATTGAATTCAGCTCTTTTACATTTTGATTGAATATTGAATATCGAACAGTGTACGGTAATAATCTATAGAATAACTGAAAATAACTCTACTTTTTTTTTAAAAAATCAATCTTACTTTTTATGGACTGAAATACATATGAATTTCTAGTGCAATTTTCTGTATTAAAACATTTTAGTGAAAATATTTGAAACGCAGTACCTTTTGCGATAGAGTTTACGATTTGCTAAAATTGATTGCTTCGTTATCGAAAATCAAATTGATAGATTTTCTAATAAGATTTTTGTTCAGAATTATTTGCATCATTCTATTCTTTTCATAAGATTATTAGCAGACATTACCATAAAGTAAGATAGTAAGTAGCTAATCGATAATAGTGAATGCGAAGTGCTCTGTATCATCAAATATATAAACCAACCGAGTCACTGGTGTTGTATTCGTTTAGTGAACTTAAGAAAAATCCTGATTTCTATCTTCAATGGACTAGTGAGTGCATAAATGATTACTACTACTGTGGTGCGAACTACTTATAAGTAGTACATGACGTGAGTGTCAACGTAATATCTGGCAGCGGCAGAAGGGGGAAGATCAAGAAAGGAAGAGTTAGAACACAATGGAATTTGTATGAAACGCATGAATAGTGACAATTGATTGATGTTTTGCAACAGGAACAGTCCAGTTCGATATGATGGACTGATATTTTGCAAATGAACGATTTACTATATGGTTTTCCGATTTTACTGAGTAACTCTGTAATTTTCGTTAAATACAATCCGGTTGCTCTGACCTGTGTTCTCTTTCACTACACTATTACTATTACTACTATTACTTAGGTAGGTCTTCAGTGCAAGCTGATCATCAATATTCCTTTATATGATCTCTGTTTATGATGAAACGTACTTGTAAATTACTGAATTCCCTTCTAAACTACCAAACTTTGGACCCTATAACTGTAGGGATCGATAACAAGATATCATTACAAATTAATACTGTTTCATTGGGGTTCGATAAAATGTTTACTTTATATCAATCTGGAGTTGTGAAGATTGTTAAGTTTCATTGAAATCATAAACTGTATCCCGTAGTCGGATGAAACGGCTGTCCTGTACTTCCTAGGTTTCCGTTGATCGATTGATGATCTCAGTGAAATTCTATCCCATATGTTTATAAGTATTTCTTATAGTGTAGTATTTCAGTTTTTCTGTTTGTTTCCCTAGTTATACACATATATGATTGAACATCAACAGTAGTACTAAATAATTCTCATCATTAATTGATTGATTATTACGACTGGTGACAGTCTTGTTTGTGAATAGTTTCTTTTTTCTTATCACTAAAAATCGATAATATTTATTCATTATTTATTTATTCGACCAACATAATTGAATATGTCTAAATCAATAATGTTGACGATAAGGTTGTTATTTTTTTTGTATGTGGAAAAAACGACCAATCATCTATTTATAAATCTGATGAAGTAAGAAAATAGAAATTTTGACATTTCTAGTGATATAGTCCTATACAGTTCTTGTAAGAATAAATAAATTAAGGTTTTTTTGGTCAATCAGCCAGTCAGTCAGTCAGTGACAACATACAACTTGATATATACTTAGATCAGTTCAAGTTGTCATATACCATCAGTATTAGCATATGTTAGTTGAATAAATGTTTACAAATATAATTTCAGTTTAATTTTCGATTAGAGTTATGGAGATAAGTGTTTTTACACATTTAAATCATCAGTCAATCATTGTTAGACCAGCATTAGAAACCTGCAAGCACTGGACGGCCGTTTCGTCCTGGTATGGGACTCATCAGCAGTGTGCATCCACGACTCCTGCACCTCACAGGATTCGAACCTAGGACCTTCAGTATTACGCGCAAACGCTTAAGAATTGAACCACTGGGCCGGCATGCAACAGTGTTAATGTCTAACTAGGATCGATCTAGGGATTTCTCGCGACCTCACCCATTTGTCTTCGGTAGTTACTGCATACACCTGACAGGGTTGAACTCCGCTGGTCACGTCTTCTCACTAAAACCCCGACAGTTTCCTCACGAAGCTAGTCACTAGTGAGCACATTTTATGATATTTTCATTTAGAGTAATGGATATTAGTGTTTTTACACATTTAAATAATCAATTGTTTGATTTTTGCTTAGTTTATTTTCTATGAAGAGAAATAAAGATTTCTTTTTAAATGACTAATAAGTTGATTTGCTGCATCCCTTGACAGAAGCTAATACACACTCACATGTGTTTTGTATGAATTGAAACATTTAACAAACTGTTCACTTGTTTTCTTCTGATTTATATTAAAAAATTATTCAACTTTAACACGTTAATTTATATAAATAAAAATACTGATTCATTGTTTGTTTACACAGATAACTTTACAACAATATGTGTAATTACAAAATAACTTTTACTATGAATTTCTTCTCCAGATGATTGATATCAGTTCACGAATAGAAACAACCTTTTAATTAATTCGCAACTGAACGAGTTGTTTCTTAGACTTTTATACTCTAAGTATTTTTAACATTTTCATAGACCGATGACACAGTAGTTAATTCGTTCAACTTCTAGTCAAGATCGTAGGTTCGCATCCCGAATTTCCTACTTTAATGTGAACGACAAAGTGATTTCACTAGCCCTTACATTTAGACTGTGATTTGGCAGTTCGATACTCGTATGCCTGATAAATAAGCTAATTCAGTTAAAATCTAAAAGACATCAAATACGGAAGTACATTTGTAAACATTTCAGCGCTTGAAATTAAATACACTTCACTGTTCAAAGTGAATAATACTAAGCAATGAATCTTTTGCATAACAATCTAATGTCACAATGCAATCCATAATTATCTATTGACAAGTTTACATTGTTCATTATTTTTTATGATACGTTTTTTCAAAATCTTTAAATTTAAAAATCCTAATTAGAATTCATACTTAGATATGAAACAATAATAAATTATTTCATATAAGAATTCTCGATACAACAACAACTGATACCATTCAAAATAATAACAACACACAATAATGTATACACACATTTGAATTACTTACATATAATTGATTATTTAATATTGTTTATTTTCAATGTTCAATATATTATTTGAATGTTGTTGAAATAAATATTGTTTGTTAGTATAAATCATTATTAAGTTCTTGTAGTGTTTACAATAATTGATGCTTTTTAATGCATTATTTACATGTAGTAATATACTAACCAATGTACAGTGCTTACTGTATTGCAATGGCGCAAGTGCATCCACTCTTTGTGTTCTATGAAATTCTAACCTTCTGAATTCCTGATCATCTCTGTCTTTCTCCTTCTAAATTTATCTTACTAAATTATACTTCTCGAATCATATCTTTGCTCCCTAATCTTCTCCATTACTGCTAATACTTCTACTATCACTTTCACCCTTGGATTTGAACTGACAGTTACGTCTGTGTGCTGATGTGGTATGGCAACCTGAACTGATGCACGTACGTACGTACGAAGTTCTGCGTTGTATTTGTCTGTCTGTCTGTTTATCTGTATATCATTATTTCAACTGGAAGAAACTTGATAGCTTATGATATATTTTCATAACTTATTGATATGCAACTAATGACAATCTATAGTTGTTGATTTTTGAAAGTTCATCAAAATTGATGATATTGAATACATTGAATCTTTATTATTGTACTTTAAGTTCAATCATCAATACACCTGCCTGGTTAACCTCAATTAATTTTTCTTTTCTTTTTTTAAAGAAAATTCTATTTTCATTGTTTTAACATTTTTTTTTAATCTTTTTTCTTCAATTTTTGGTGTGAGCTATTTAATTTTCTTCTTACTATATAATTATCACATCGGAGGAAGGAAAAGATGAACTTTTTTTTTGTTACAAGTATCCTATAGAGAATGATTATTTTTTGTTTGTTCTGTTCTGTATTTTCGTTGTACAATTATTACATTATTGATTGATTGTATTTTCTAAAAAAATTTCATATTCTCTCTGATCTACTTTAAGCTGTGTCTTTTTTTCACTTCATTTTTAACTGAATTATGTAGAGATTTCGAGTTCTTAATTGTATTACCATAGGATCAGTCCAGTATTTAAGGTGTATTATTTATTGTATGCATTTTCAGTCATTTGATGTGAACAGAGTTTAATGGAGAGTTAATTTATATTTTCTTCCATCATCTTCGGATTGGAAAAGGCTTGTGGGCTAGAAGGTTTTAAGATTGGCCAAGTATTATTATTCACAATCAGTGATTCATTGCTTTAGAGAAGGTACTGTAGGCAACTTAGCTAAATAAGTCAATGATTAGACTAAATAATCAAACTGCTCTCATTATACAACTAACTTGCTCACATAGAGCTCTATACAAATCAAGAATCTATTCTTTTTAAATATCCAATAAAAACGTGTTTAATGTGACCAATCGAATCGGTACTATGTCATTTTCAGTGGTACGTTGTTCTCTGTCAACTATATGAGTTGAGTGTCGAATCTTTTTCAAGATTCTTCAATCACATTCTCACCAATAAATATACCTTCTATTCAATTATGTCAATAATGTACATGATCAATATTTGCTTGTAGGAAGTTGTATATTTGATTGAGTTAAAAAGTTTTAAACGTGAAGATAATTCTTTCGAAATTACTTCTTTCTATATAATTTATGGTTTTTTTTTCTTTCTCTTCTGTCATTGTTAGTCATTAGATGAAAAAGCGGAAGGATTAATTCAACAAAAAAGTGCTCGATGTGAACGTTATTGTTGGCTACGATCAAAAATATTACATTTAGACAATTTATTAGGTGGTGATCAATTATTGGATATTACAAAACATAAACTTGGTATCGATTTTCACACTACCTTTCCATCGATCACGAAATTCATTGGACAAACGAATGGTATTGATGAAAACAATGCCATTAAAAGTGAGGATTTGAATAGCTGTCAAAGTTTAGATCCTTCTCTAATTTGTAAGTATGTTTTGGATTTGTTTTTCACAATAGTTATCATTGATTTCATGGTGAATACTTTTGGGATAATAACTAAATTCAGGAAAAAAGTTTCTTTGAACTGTATTTTCACCTGGAGACTACAAAATAAAATAAAGAACATAGGACGGCAGTTTTGTTACAGTCTTAGATTTCTGAGTACTGTGCATTGTCGACCTCATAGGAGATCGAATATGGATCTTTTGAAAACTTACTCTTAGCTATGTATACAGTGTTTTCATTTTCAAAGCTTTTATCAAATCGGTTAGTAGACATGATGACGCAAAACTCTGGGATCTCAGATCATGAACATGTAGTACCTTTCGTAGACGTTAACATGAGAGAATAATACAGTTATTCACGTAACGTGTGCATCTAGGGATCATTAAAATATTCCATCGCTCATCATAAACCTAATAAACAACTTGTAATTCTCTCATCTTCCATTTTGTAAATATGACATAATTCCTGACACCTGTTACCACTCGTGGATTATAAGTCGCGAATCAAGATTCCAACCAATCAACTCTGCCCTGAGCTTTCTTTTCCAGTTCTTCCCATTTGTTATTCATTCTTTTCATCTCAACCGCCGATTCTCGGCGCAATGTGTTCTTTGGTCTATCACTTTTCTTTTAGCCTTGAGAATCCCAACTTAGAGCTAACCTCATGACGCAGTTGGGTGGTTTTTGTAGTGTTTTGTATCCAGTCCCAGAGCTTTTCTCTAATTTCTTCTCTGATAAGAATGTGGTTTGTTCTCTCCCACAGTAGGTTATCATTGATGATGTCTGGCCAACTGATCTGGAGTATCTTTCATAGACAACAACAACTGTTAGTAAACGCCTGTATCCTGTGGATGATGGCTTTTGTAGTTCTCTGAGTGTCAAATCCATAAATATAACTGTCTTAACGTTCCATTTTTGTCACTACCAAGTGACGATCTAAAGTTAGGTCCTATCCTCTCTTGATTCTCGTGTTTTCCACAGTCTTTCTAAACTTTTATTGATGTAGATAAGTTCTGTTTGGTTCTGTAAAGTCTGATCTGGTGAAACCGACGTAACTCTGAGTGTGCGTTTATGTGGGAATATGGTGACGCCTATTACCAGTTTCTTGAAGGCTTATAGATTAGCGAATTTCTAAGCATTTCTTCTCCTTTCTCCCAGTCCATATCGTCTCATGATGTCTTCGTATTTTGTTGTCGTCCATTCCAACCTTTGCATTTAGGTCTCCGATCAGTATTATCAAGTCTTTTGATGAGCGCTTCTCAATGATTGAATGCAGATTCTCATCAATCTGATCTTTATTGTCTTCGTTTCTAGCGCTGTTTAGCTCATAGCACTAAATGACCTTGATTGTAATCCTCTCTTTCGTTGTTTTAATAATCCTGTGTCAATGAGATTCCTATCTTATGAAAGCTCTTGCTGCTTTTTTGGACAGAATCAGTGCAACCGCTTGTGTTTCTGAGGCATTCTATTCTTCTTTGCCTACGTCTACTGAGTTTCACTTACTCCATGCATGATGAGGCTGTATCTTTTCATTTTCTCAACAACCTGTATAGTTGTTCTAGTCTCTAACATTGTGAGAACATTCTATGGACTTATATTAACTGTTGGTCATTTAAATTCCAAATATCAAGCATGTCTGCGTATATCTGATCGTAGATGTTCATTAATTACGACAAAAGGTTTGCATAATCATTGATTCGAGAAATGTTATGTTAAGTATTCTAGCACAAATTAATCCTGTTAACTGAATTATGAATATTCATTGAATGTAGTATTATCCACTAAAATCACCCACTTAAACGTGTATCGTTCATTCAAGTTGTGTGTGTTTGCGTATCCATAATCAATAACCAATTTTACAAGTTTATCTGAACAAACTTAAATTTATCTGTTCATATAAATCTTATGCGAAATAGACTAAATCATTTCTTTTGCCTTTTTTTTAATGTCTTTGTCAATTCATAATTTCAATTCCCATAATCATCAATAAAAGTTCATTATTATTTCAATAAAACAAAACAACACATTACACTAAACTAGTTTTACCAATAAGTTAGCTTTTAGATTTAGTCTATAATTTGTTGATCTAAAAAAATATTATTGATCAGTAGATAATGATATCCAATAATACATACTAGAATAAAAAACCTAGTGTCTTGTTAAACAAAAAAATTCAATGCTAACACCTAACTTCTATTGAACATTGAACTCATTTTGCTAATTGGCAACAGTAAATTCTAATGCTTACTTATGTTCCATAATATTTGTGATTGGTCAGTGAAATCATTTATCCAACTACTGGCTTATATACTTGAATTTAAACTATACTGTCTGTGTATGGGATCAGTGATTACTACCCTAGGTATGTATATCGAAATGGGTAGTATGAATTTCGAATACTGTAAACGTGCACATGAAATATGCAATCCTGCAAGAAATCTCTCTTTAGCATACTTGAGATGATGATGACTGATATACATTTTTATAAGTTAACATATCTATCTACGTATTAAATCAACCAGTTTGCCATTGATTGTATATAGGTTGCTTAAATTTCAATAGATGCTTGTTGCCATGGTTTTTATGCATCACGTTTAGTTTCCCATAACCTTTCCTATTGTGCAATATAGGATAATTGGCTGTTGTATAGTTACTGTGGTGATTTTTTAGTAATAACTGTTGTTACTATTGCTCTTGACATGTTTCACAACAATGCTGATTTTAGCAGTAGTGGCTATTAACTTGTAGCAGAATCCAAGACTCGAGTTCTGTTCTATTTCGGACTCGTCAGATCAATGTACCTTCATGTCAGAGTTGATGTTCACTCCGGGACTCGAACCCAGTACCTTTCACTTCAAGCACTATCGCGATAGTCACTTAACTACTGAGTCCAAATAGCCATCTGCCTACACAACAAGCAAAATGAATCAATTATTTCTAATTTTATTGCTTAACAAAAATACCATTCTATTGTTTAAGTGCAAACACATTTATGTTGCCTGCATAAATAATACAATACAACTGTGAATAATAATAATAATAATAATAATATAACTCATTTACTGAATAAAAGTTCATGTACTTAATTTTTATAAAGTATACATTGTAATTAAATTGAATTGCAGAACAAAACACAATTTTACAATTGTGTTGTAAACTTTCTAATAGTAACTCTAAACCACTTTGTAAAATGACAAGTATGGAATCAGTGTTAGCTCTGTTTGTTCTGGTTAGCGTTTCTCTAGCACGTTGATATTCTATGAGTTCGGGTTGCTAATCCCACGCCCAAGCTTCCTTCTTTATCCTGTCATGAGACTGGCAGTAAGCCTGAAAGGGCTCGATGTGGAGTTCATAGAATGAGCAGAAAGATGTGATTCCTAGACCGGAATGAGTATTCACTCAACCCATTGATACATTCATAAATATTTCTATTCGATATGTAAGTCAAGATATTGACATAGTGTATAAATAACTCTAACCAAAAGGCGTGGTTCTTTCAACACATACCATCCGGCCTTGAATTAGCATGTGTGCATGTATGCACGTGATGTGTCTGAACTCAGTCAGATCGCCTATCTCTCCTGAAAAATATGTCTATTTTTTGAACTCAGCCTCAGTAAAAACTAACTACCAGGCTATTTAAACTGAATTCAATGTTAGAAGGTCTGAAATTGTGATGTGGCGATTGATAGTCAAGTTCGCTATGCACTAATTTATCACTTCACTATTGTAATTATGTAATCTGTGAGTGTAAAAAAATCACTGAAAACTTATCCGTTCAGTGAATGATTTGTCATTGTTTTACGCTCGAATCTGTTCAAGATAGTTGACCATTAGAAATAGTTGAAGGATTTCTATCCAATGAGATTATTTATCTACTGGTACTGGTTAGTAGTATACTCACATTAAATAGATCAAATGAAATCAAGAACATCTAAACTATAAGAAATGTTAAATAGTCGACTAATGTTAGCGAGCTGTATCGTTCTCTTTCTCTCTGTAAATATAATGGTTTCTGTTGAATGAGATTCAGTGACTAACATTCAAAAATTCACTGTAAACTAGAAAACCTAAATAGATCGTAACTTTTAGGTAAATAGCTTTTAAATGACATACTCAGTAAAAGGATTAACTCAAAAACAAGTTTAAAATAACCGCAACAAATTTTCACTTAGTTCTTAGCCAATCAATTACGACTTTTGTAAAATCGATTGGTTTCGGTAAAGAAAATATGGAAAATTTTACATGATTATTATATCTAGTAAAGACTTCAACAGGTAACTCTCCTTGGATATGGAAAAAACTAACACCGAAATAGAGACGTTTTCATCAATTCTTCGTCTTCTCGAATTCTTCTTCCAACAGTCGCCATATTTTTCATAGGTGAGGTTACAATTATTAGGGTTATGATTAGAGTTTTCATCATGAACTGATATCTATTATGCAGAACTTCTCTGTAACCATACGGACTAGAGAATTTCGATTAAAAATCTAAGTGCTAATCTATTATTAGTTTGTTCATAAAATCTAATATCACCAAGTAAGGATTTGTTTTGATATTAACTGTTTAGTGTTAGGATTGAGGGTTGATGTAGCTGCAAGAAAAGTTTTATTTTCATCATTTCTAACATTCTCAACACTCGACAAACATACTCGCTTTTGCTCATTAAATGTAATATTTCAGTTTTAGTCAAAAGTCCATAAGTCACATTCTAAATTCTGATTGTCTCGTCTGTATAACATACGTCTACCATATACGCATAAGTAATATCGTCATACAATGGCATACTTATTCATAACTTGATGATATTCATAGTGTTCGGGACGTTAGATCCCTAGGAAAGGTCCTAATTTTGTAATTTATTTCTGAAATTTTGAATTTTTATGTTTTCGCGCCAAAGACGCTTAGTTTACCTTCAGCTAATATTTCCCACTCGGATAATCCTTGACTATCATTGGTTGATGGATCATTTTAGTGTGCCATTTTGTGGCTCTCACCAAGGGCGTTTCTATTATTGCATAAATAATCTTGAGTTGTGTGCTTAGACACCTCACATTTTCTGAGTGCTTTTAGAATACATTCTGTACGCTTTATCAAGACTTCTTTCTCTAGTTAGCGGGTTTCGGGACAATCTGATTAGAATAGCTTATCGTCTCATTGCATCGTTGATCTTTGTTCCGTTTACTGAGTAAGGTGAACTCGCAATAGCATTCAAGCATATCAAATGGTGAGCACATCACATAGATATCAATTTGAACTAATAACTTCCAATTATGTTTCTTTGCTTTTCGTTTCTCGATTTTTTTCAGTCATTTCATTAGATGATAATTGATTCTAAATTATAAATTGATCAATATCTCTCTCTCTCTGTGGCTATTTATGTGTATTTTTCTCCTGTTTTTTTTAAAAAATTATTAACGATGACAGACTTTCATGTCAATGATGCTTGCGTATTGATATGATTTTTTTCCCACAAGAAAACATAACACTTTAATCATTATATTTTCAATATCGTATGACAAATAATCAGGTTTTTTCTCTGTTCATAAGTCGATAAAGATTGATTTTCTATTTTTTTTCGTTTAGCAAACAATCATGATTAATTTGATGATAAATTGATTGGTGATTAAGTAATCAGGTTTGATAAAGTGGCTAGCTGTGGCGAACTTAAAAAAAAGAACATTTCATAGGTTTTTTAACGGATCAATCTATTGAGAATAATGATAAAAATATGATGTTCTGCTAAAACAACTCTACTGACAAAAAATCTGTTTCGCTATATAACACACGATTATTTAATGTAATCGTTTACAACATGTACATTGTTCGGTTTGATGATGAATAAAATCCTATAACTGTATGATTTTTATTATTTTAGCGTTGTGGAGGTTGTTGAGTTTCATTGAAATCATTAATTGATCAATGTTGGACCAGTATCGGTAACCTAGAAGCACTGAATAGCCGTTTCCTACTGGTGTGGAACTCATTAAAAGTGCGCATTCATGATACCGCAAGCGGGAATAAAACCCATTACGTTTGTGTTGCGAACAAACGCTCAACCTCTTAACCACTGAGTCGGTATCCAACGATGTAAATGTTTAACTTTAATCAATCCACAATTTTACACCACTATCATTAAATGTATCCTCTCGAGGTCGTCGATCCACGCTGCTAATGAATCCCATACTATGATGAAATGGCATTTCAGTGCTCTAAGGTTTCAATTAGTGGTCCAATATTAATCAGTCCATGATTTAAATGAAATTTATTGTTAATTAGGATTTCATTAAGAATTAAAAGCAATTCAATAGGCATTAACAATCCAGTTAATAATAAATCGCTTCAGTTTGACTGAAATAGGGCACTGGGTATACAGAAGTCATTAAGTATATATATATATATATATATATATATATATATATATATATATATTATATTATATTATATTATATTATTGCTCTGAAGAATCTGAATCCAGTCTACTAGAAAAAGTGTTAGAATATTCGATTCTTATCCAGTCATCCCTAAGAAAATATTTCTCTTTTATTTTCTTCTCCTGTCATATAAAACACATCGAAATTCAATGTACATCATCTCTACACTAAATGTAAGCGTATGCAGATTTTTATTCAATCCAATTGCATGATTTTCATATTTATATGAAATGCTTTTAGATTGAACTTGATTTCAACGAGATATTCTTTGTTTCTTGAATAAAGAGCCTGATAAATTGTGTAAAAGGTATAAATACTTTTGATTGTCTTAAATCTAGCAACTACATTTATATTTATATATAGTCACAATATTTTTTACTTTCAACAAAATCTTTTTCAGCATCCATTCAAACAATTCCTGATCAAATAAGTATTGAAAAACTTACCAAAATTCATGAACAGTTACAATCGATTTACACACCATTAGCTGTGCAACATGCTGCACTTCGTGAAGATATTGCTCGTGTTGCCGCTGATATTTTCTATCGACCACAATCAGAAAAAGAAGCTGAAATTTTAACAATTGTTGGATTAAAACATCTATGTAAAAATGGTAATACAATTTCAACACCAGGTGTAGTAAGACGTGCTAATGATGAAAAAGATTGTACTGTGTCCAAGCCTACATCTAGTGAAAACTTAGAAGTCACTACAAATGGCTTAAATAATAATCATGATACTTATGAACCTGTTGTAAATAAGGAGATACTTATGGTAAGTGGAGATATACTGTATCGCGTTATTCTTCTTTAACATTTGATAATCTGCATTACATGTTCTCATATAAGACTTCACATATCGAGGAGTTATTGAACAAGAAATTCCAACATAGAGTAATACTAGGTGAAAGTCGAGCAGTGGTAGCCTAGTGGTTGCAATATTGAACTTTCAGTTAGCAGATCCCGGGTTTGAACTCTGTTCCGTCTATTTCAATTTTGGCAATTGAATAATACCATTAGCCTTCATACTTGTAGAGTGTCTTATACCCAAGTTCTTGATGAATGAGTTAATTAACAAGTTAGCTAATAATAGTTGTATAGTGTTGAATAAGATTTTGTACTTCTAGTAATTTAGGCGCATCTAACTCATAAACCCAGCTACCATTTACCTCGATGTGTTATGTTGTCTAGTATAGAAGTAGATTTGTAGATCATGCTACAATTAAACTGAAGCAATGGGTCATTTCATAAGGTAACGTAACCTATTTTTTCCTCAAAATCAATCACATCTTTCTTAGCGTTATCATTTATTCTTCTTAACTAAAAATAACTCTATATCTACTTCTGTTATGGTATATTTATTTTGAATTAACTGCATTCCTCTTAAGCAATCTCTTAGGCTAAACAATAGTTTATCAACAGTATTTATCAATTGTCATAAATTTTTTTAAAATTTTTTTAAAATATATAATTCTCATTTTAGAAAAAAAAAATTCCCAAGATATTTTTCACATGAATTTTAATATTTCTTTTTTTTCAATGAATTATATTATCATCATGAAACTCTTTATTAATAAACACATGGTATAAAATATTGTGTGAATAAACTGGTCTCATAGATACATTTTTCTAATATCAATGTATATTGTGTTTCATTTTGCATTAAACCTGACTACATTTGCTGATCGACATTCATGCCATGAATGATGTGATGATGTAATGAGGCAATGAGTAGGCGTAAATAGGAAACTGGTTTTACATAGAAAACATTATTGACATAATATTCTGAATGTACGAATTGTAAAGGGACTGATGACGATGATGATGAAAATGTTATGTGATTTCAATGCAAGAAATGCTGATCATTTAGTCAGTCAGTCAGTCAGATGCAACGTAGAACTTTGTACATAAGTACATCAGTTCATGTTGCCATACCACATCAGCACAGAGAAGTAATCGTCAATTCAAATCCAATAGTAGAAGAGGTAGTAAGGGAATTAGAAGTAATCGAAGAGGTTAGGATTAGAAGATACTATTCAAGAAGTATGATTCAGTGAGAAAAGTTTAGAGAGTCGAAACTAGAGGCGTTGAAGAATCCAGAAGATTAGGATTTAAGAGAACACAAAGAATAAATGCACCGGCGCCATTGCGAACGATTTTGAGCCATGTCATTCAAGGTCTCTAACCATCGATTATTATCATCTCGCGGAACCCAACCAGTTAGTCGACAATTATCGACATGGCTCAGTCCACTAGTCAATGACTTCATGGATTTGTGCCATGTTTTGGTCTGGCCGCCCCTAACTTTCTTCCAACCTACTCCTACACTACAAAACAAAGTTCGTCGAGGCAGTCAGTGGTTCGGCATACGCAAGACATGTCCCAACCACCTCAACTGATGAAGTTTCACCACTTCATCTATTGATCTGCCATCCTTACCTAGTACTCGTTTCCTAATAACAGCATTGCTCACTCGGGTGTCCCACGGTACACGAGCAATGCTTCGAAGACACCTATGATCGAAAACCAGTAACCTACGAACATCTTCTACTCTCACTGGCCATGTTTCACAGCCATATAGGAGAACGGAGCGAACTGCTGCACAGTACACTCGTTCTTTGATTAGAGAACGGATATCACGCCTACGCCATAAGTGACGCAGGTTGGCAAAAGCCAATCGAGCCTTCTGTATCCGAGCTGAGATTTCGTCAGTCACCAGGCCATCGGCACTGATGAGACTCCCAAGATAAGTGAAGCGGTCTACGCGTTCGACTACTTCACTCCCTATCACTAGTTCACGTGCCGATGCAACCCAGTCTTGAAACAACATTTTGCATTTCGAGGGGGGAAACCGCATACCGAACATGCTTGCATTGTTGCTTAGGGTAGTCAGAAGACTCTGCATTTTGTCAGCGTCTTCACCAAGTAGGACAATGTCATCGGCATATTCTAAGTCAATAAGCGAGCCACTTGGTAGAAGGTCTACTCCTGAAAATTCAGACGAGGATAATGTTATGTCTAGGAGCATGTCTATGATAAAATTAAACAAGAATGGAGAAAGTGGACATCCCTGACGAACACCACTTGATGTAGAGAATTCTGGTGACAGTTCGTCATAAGCTTTCACTCGACCAGTAGTGTCCGAGCAGAGAGCCTGTATAAGGCTGATGTACTTCTTTGGTACACTTTTCAATGACAGACACTGCCACAGAATCTCACGATCCACTAAGTCAAATGCTGCCTTAAAATCCAGGAAGATAACTATCGTCGGGCGCCTAAATGTGTGTCTGTGTTCCAGGACCTGTCGTAGTGTGAAAATGTGGTCTATAGATTGGGACAATCAAGGATTGAGACCAGTCGGATGGGATTACGTCCAGTTCCCAGATTCTACCTAAGATCTCAGTAAACCTAGCTGCTAAAACTGGACCACCATCCTTAAATATCTCGGGGGTCAGTCTATCAGGACCTGCAGCTCGTCCTCGTTTCAGATTTCCTAACGCTTTTTCAACTTCATTAAGACTAGAGGGACTTACGTCGATTTGCCATTCAGGATGACTGGAGATCGTGGGTAACCGAAGAGTGGCTCGTGGCCAGTTGAACTGATCCCTAAAGTGTTCTGCCCATCGATCCAGTCTCCTGGATTGAGAATGGATAATAATCCCATCCTTTTCCGAGATCGTCTCACTCACATTCGGGTTCTTAATACCAGTTTCTTTAATAAGGCGGAAAAGTTGTCTAGTGTTGCCTATCGCCGCTGCCTTTTCCATCGCTTTTGCTTTCGCCACCCACCACTGTTCACAGTCGTTACGCAGACTTTTTATAAGTCTGCGGCTGATCATTTAAGAAATTACTGTTTTTCACTGTAATTTACAAGTGGTGTGTATAAGTGGAATATGTGTACTAGTTGAGAGTTCTCAATGAGACTGTAACATTTGTCTGATTTTCACTGATTCTCCAGTTGAAATCAGTATAAAAAAGCTAAGGATATATGAAAGATTATATCAAAAAATCGTGGTTTGACATCAGTTGGTTGTGATATCCTCAAACCACCTAATTGAGCTTATTAGTCAGAACTATAAACCTTGAAATTTGTCTTGAGTAACGTAGGAGGTATAATGATGGCTATTGCCTCCCGGTTGCTTACACTTTGCAAAGATACTCGTTCTTGAAGGACATAAAAAACTAGGTTAGGGACGGTCTTGTCAACCTAAACGATTAACTGCTGCACTGAAGAGATAACTGCTTGAGATTCTTCAAATCTGACTTTTTTTCACGAGTAATTTCTAGTTTTAGCTGTGCGCTTTACAGATGTAATCGTGAGCGACAGAGGTATATGAGAGGAGACAAGGTGAAGTTTACTACTTTCATATTAGACCCTTTCTAACCTCTCCCTTCTCTTTCGGATAGCAATATCTATCGGTAGATGCTGGTTGCCTGAGGGGAGCATCTTATTACCATCATAACCTCGTACGATCAGTTGCAAAACCTCACTCCCATACCTTTAGTTTGTCGCTTCCAGTCTAAATTCTCTTTATCCAACCTGCTGAGAATGATGAAATTTATAAAAATGAGTGTTTCATGCAGCCTAACTCAGTTAAGTCATCATTATACATAAGCAACAGTTAGGTGAAATCTGTCTGTTTGAACTAAATTAAGTAACAATTTATTTTTGAAATATACTTTTTCACTCAGAAAAGACAAATATTTTACAACCACGTTAAAATGTTAGAATGAGTGTATCAATATTAATTATTTGGCGTAATTTTTGTAATGTGATTTTTTCTGCTCTCAGTATTGTGTTTATCAGTCACCACACAATCTTATTTTTCAGTTAGCTAGTGTAAAAGGCTTTTTTTGAAAATATATTTTCGTGTTAAACTTGTTGTTATTTTAAATTGATAACAGGTTCTACTACTTTTGTTAGTCAGTCAGTCAGTCAGTCAACAGTATACTACATAGTATCTCTAGCACATATGTACATTGGTTCAAGTCTTCATAAAACACTAGCACAGATAGATTAAATTATCAAGCCAAATTTCAGAGTAATAGAATTAGGAATAATATCTGTTGAGGACGTTAGATCCCCAGCACTCACTTGCAAACAGTCCTAATTTTTTAAAATTTATTTCTGAACTTTTGAATTTCATTGTTTTAGCGCCAAAGATGCTTAGTTGACCTTCAGCTTAGATTTCCCACTCGGAAAATCCTTGACTGTCATTGATTGATAGATTATTTTAGTATTCTATTTTGTGGCTCTCACCAAGGGCGTTTCTCTCATTGAATAAATAATATTGAGTTGTGTGCTTAGACAACTCGCATTTTCTCGGCACTTGTAGAATACATTCTCCACGCCTTAGCAAGACTTCTTGATCTAGTAAGAAGGGCCTGTGACAATCGGGTTAGAATAGCCTATGGTGTCATTGCATTGTTGATCTTTGTTTCGTTTACCGAGTACGGTGAACTCGTAATAGTTTCAAGCATCTCGGTATCATTAGTAGCATTAGAGAAGTTTAGATATATTAAAAAAGTTATATGAGGATATCGAAATTCGGTATGTATGGGAGATCATAAAGTGAACTAATTTGCCCTATTATGATTGATTGTGAGCTGTCTACTGGTGAAAATAGTCACGTGAACTGCAACAAGATAGTCTACACTTAGCTTCATGGTTATTCTAATAGTTCATAGCATCATTGACTTATGCTTAGTGTTTTTTTTGGCTATCCTTGTCTTTCTTTTTTGAACGTACACCAGATAACAACATTACTTTGATATGTTATTCCCTTTAGGATATAATTAATACTATTCGTTTAACTCGAAAAATTGTCTGTTTCTTTAAATCCCCAGAACTCGTTTGTTATTTTTCGATTGTGTATTGAGAAATCAACATTCATATGAAATGATAATAAGTTTTTGCAGTTTCAAACCAATTTCGATCGATTACACATTCACTTGTGTCAACATAATTTGCTTAAAAACAGGGAACAATTTTATCATAGCCCCTATGATGATAGCCTATTGATGAAATTGCTTATATTCAATAATTTCATCTGTAGTCTTTTTTCAAGATATATCTAAAGCCAAAAAATACCAGGATTAGAAACCTTTACATTTAACGATTTCATCTTAACTTACAGAATTCTACCTTGAAAATAAAAAACTTCAATGTAACAATATGTAGCAATTACCACATTGCAAAGTTAAGTAAATGAGTATAGATAATGAATGAGCTGATTACTGTTCACCAATTAAATAAATTTGAATATTATTATTATTATTATACAACGACCTTTGATTCATGCATTATGTATAGTTTGCTTGCATTCAATACAACAACAAGTTAGACATTAACACCGTTAGATACGGGCTCAGTGGTCCAGAGTTTAGGCGTTCGCGCACAATACCGAATCCTGCGCGGTGCAGGAGTCATGGATGTGCACTGCTGATGAGTCCCATGCCCAGACGAAACGGCCGTCTTTCAGTGCTTCCAGGTTTCTAATGGTGCTCTAACCTTGATCGATTCATGGTTTCAAAAAAAATGTGCATTAATTGCCACCTACACATCGAATTATTCAAACTGTTATTCGATAGACCTAGTCAAATAACTATATGTGTAGGTGGCAATTAATGCCCAAGCGTACATGCGCATACAAGCTCAACAATGATAAAAGTACAAGATATATGTGAGTTTCTACAATCTTCACAACCCCTGTAATGCAAACAAAACAGCAGTCATATAAAAATAAAACTACTTAATCAGGTATTTTTTTTCTAATAGCTTAAATGAAACATTCAACTAGGGTTATAATTGGCAATATTGCATTTTTTTTTCAAAAATTTATTTTTACAATCTTCCTACCATATATAATTCGAATGTGTGGTACAGATTTTTTAAAATTTGTATTACTGATACTAATTTAGTCTGTTCAATGTTCATCAGCCCACGCGTGATCATTGTGTCTGCAATAAATCTACTTATTGTATGAATGTAATGCTTAGTGAGATTATGAATCACTTGTAATATGAATATTATGAATGATAACTGCAAGTTGTGATATTGTGAATTATTCTTTTTATGATGGTAAATTACAAGCAAGCTGTTAATTTCTATACAGAATGTTCCTCAATAAATTTCTTACTACTTATAAGTAACTTATATGATTATTCATTCAGCAAAATATTGAATTGTTATTTTCACTTCAGTTAATTGTTATTTTGTGTAGATAAATGTTGATAATACGTTACACTGTATATCATTGTGAAACTGAATATTAACTGGCTGTAAAACTCAGTCGATATTGATGTTAATATACGATCCTATCAGTTTTTATTCCGTTTTATTTCATTAGTAGATCAATTGACTATCAAACTAAGAGTGTAGATTATATTCATCACAGATTGTTCTCAATTCGATACCACTGAAAACTATAAGTTAATAGATAGTTATTTTATCTGCAACTCCTTAATAGTGCTCAGCTGTGGTAACAGGATCCATAGCTTTCAAGTATGTTGAAGGCCTAATTGTTGGAACCAATCGATTGCTATCTAATCGTTAGAATTCTAGTTATCAACAACTTGCGATGTAGCATTGGGACTCATAATAAGTTAAATCATACTTCATTGTGTGTTAATTTTGATAAAAAAATATTCAACTGTTAGACTGTGTACTTTAGTCTGTGAATGCATTAACATTGTTTTGAAAAATTCATGAAGTTTAATCAGTGTAATATTTGTTATGTAATTATCAGGATTTCCTGATTACTGTACTTTTTTACATCTGTCAATTGTCCTTAACAATCAATAACAGCAATAGCAAAATAATTCTGTCTACATTACCACCTGAATAACATTACGGTGTTTTGTTTTCAAGGACTCAGTAGTATTGATTTTGTGGCGGTTAGACAATGTCCTACCTAGTGTTACCGGCCTTGATTTACATGTTTGTGTGTGATTTTTCTCAATAATTTTCCGATGAACCTTTGTTTATAGATGACTTTTTAAGTTATCTATTACAATCAAACATTATTGATTCTCAAAACTGTGATATGAAGATTGACATGTTTATTTATTCGGTCTAATTAATAGTCTATGCTCTTGTTTGACGCAAATATTTTTAAAAACTGAAATCTTACTTCCAAATTTTACGAATTACATGTTTAATATCTTGGATGATGTAACCACAATATACATTTGACTGACTAAACATTCAGGCCCGATGTCATCGGACAAATAGTGTGAAAAGATAACTTTTTGGACTACCATACGAAGTAGTGCTGTTTACATAGAATTCATACCACCAATGAAATCTGGAATGCACGTTTCCTCCGATTTGAGACTTGCCAACGGGACGTACCTGCATTTCATATTTCATGCTAGCTCAGGTACTTGATTCCAGTAGTGTTTACTTCAAACGCCATTGCGTTATCCACTTAGCTACTGAGTTTAGATAGTCTCCCAGTTATGCGACGAGTGTGAGATTTAATTTAATCTGAAATGGTTTTGATTAGATTACTCTTTTATACTTTTTCATTAATGTAATTAGTAGATACTTGAGTTTTTTTGTGTTTTTATATTCTCTTATTCGTAAGCTTACATTTGACTCATAAATCGTCAAGTCTTATTTTTCTAGACTCATCACTAATTCATTATTTCCTGATTATTCCGGTTTTTTATTGCTTATGTCTGAGTTATGTACAAATTGTAATCCCTTAACTATGCTGATGTATGATAACAAAATCCAGATATATTACTGTATGAGTTCAAAGTGATGAATGAATAAAGTACAACTGAAAACTGACCTCCTGCTTATTATCTTCGTTTTTTGCTTGAGCACTTGGCTAGAATGTGCTTGAGGATAAATAGGTGTGAAGGTTTTAGTTGTTGCTCATTATCACTAATAAAACAGGTTGTCTATCCTACAAGCAGTTCAGGCTAATTAATCGAAAATTGGACTACACAATACAACTGCTGTCATAATAAATGGTCAGATCACAAGAACCTCCTCACAACTTCAAGTACTGGGCACTTGAATTTACTTTCTTTCCAGAGTTTAATGATTCCGTTATTTGTGTTGTCATTTTGTGTATGGTTAGTGTCAACTATTTGCTTCATAGTGATTTTTTTTCAACATTTATCATTTCTTTTTCTTCCTTATCTCCATCTCTTCCTCTTTTTCAGTGGTTAACTGACTGGCGATTAAGATTAGTTAAAGAGAAAGCTCGTTTAGTTGGTACCTGTGAAGAATTAAGAGCTTACCTGCTACAAATGTGGAAACGTTTAGATAAACCGGAATCTGAACAAAAACAATTCTTAGCTATGCATGCTGGTTATAAACCGGAAACATTGGAAGCACTTCAGGTAGCCGTATATTTTTGATCGTTTTATAAAGTTTACTTTGTGTTCCAGTTCAAATTATTCATTGTTTAGCATGTTTATTCTCTTTTTCGAAAGAAAAACAGCGACAAGGCACTGGTCAACATATTCTGATACAGTTTCATTCGATAGATTTCAGAAACCCCTTTTTGAGATTGCGACAGTTTAATTAAACTTTCATTGAAAGTGATTATTTTCTAATCTATCCAACTATAAATCAGTCTGTTCAGTTGAAAGTGTTCAGCTTAAGATTGATTTATGATACTATGAACTGATTTCAAATGGACTTTCATCGAAAACTGTCAGTAGTACTAAATACCTTCTGTTGTATTTTAGTTTGAAATTTATCAACAGTTGATAATCCCTTACTACACATAGAAGATTGAACCAAGAACTCAGATTTCATACGAAACAGCAGTATGTTATGATGAGAACACCGAATATAGTAGTAGAAATTCATTGGTTTATACTTCCAATATAAATTCTCTGATCATGAAATGATATCTCATTAGTATATTTGTTTCAACTGATTACAATTAGTGAAATTCATTTCTTTGAGTTTTAACGTGACAATTTAAAAAATGTTGTTGGTTTGAAATATTATTCCGTCATTGATTAGAATTACTTACTTACTTCCTAACTAACGCCTGTTACCCCTGTCGGGGCACAGGCCGCAAAGCAGGATTATCCATCCAATTCTGTCCTGGGTTCTTCTTCCCAGTTGTAATCCATCGTTATTCATTCTTTTTATGTCTGCCTGCGATTCTCAGCGCAATGTGTTTTTTAGTCTACCTCTTTATCTTTAGTCTTGAGGATTCCAAGTTGAGGCTTACCTCGTGACACACTTGGTTTGTTATCGCAATTTATGTTTCAGCTTCTCACTCTTTTCCCTAATTTACTCCTCATCTGGAATCCGGTTTGTTCTCCTGTCCTACTTTGTATTTATGAACTTTACTGCTGCAAATGTGATGGATTTTGTTCTATGTAGCGTGATCTGGCGAAACCCACGTTGCTTCGTGAAAGCGTTTGTGTGGAAATATGGTGCCACCTACAACCGATTTGTTAAGGGCAAATCTCTTACCATTTCGGTTCTTTTTTGCCAGTTCATGTCGTCTCATGATGCCTTTGTATTCGGTGTTCACTACAACGTTGATATTTAGGCTTCTCATCACAATAGTCAAATCCTTTGCTGGACATTTCGCGACGGTTGACTTCAACCCTTCATAAAAAACTGATCTATATCATCTCCGTTCCTTGTATGTATGAGGAATGAACAGAGTACAACAGCATCTCTCCTGAAAATAATTTTTTTTCCCAGCCTATGTTCAAGAAGTTTCACTTACTCGAAGCACCACTAGGTTGCATCTTTTTATCTCCTCAACAACTCAATTGATTGTTCCGGTCTCCAACACTGTGCGAACATTCTGTGTACTCATATTAATTGTTGTTCATTTGAATTCTAGACTGAATGGACTTCTCTGTATATTTGATCATAGATGTTTTTTAATTATAACAAATATTTTATGGCGAATCATTCACTAGGGAAATGTTATGTTAAGCTAATTTCTTCAACTGAAAATTATGAATATTCATTGAATGTAGTACGGTAAACATACTCCAAGCGGTGTTTCCTAAGAATTAGACCATATTAGAATGTCAATTAATCAAAATTAATATAAATATTTTGTATTTGTTTATATTAATACTATTCTGTGTGTTGTTAGTAGTCAAACATCTAATGTGTTCATCATTATGTTATCAAGTTAATTAATTGATAGCCGATAAATTTCTCCCAATTCATTTTTTTTCCATCAGCATTATGAGTTATTATCTGATATGATAGTATTTACCAGTGTATCACTATTATGCTCGTTACTAAGTATGCTTGAAACTATTACGGGTTCAGCTTAGTCGACAAATGAGAACGAGATAATGAACCAGCGTCCAGGTAGGCTACTCTGATCCGTTGACTCAAAACAGCTAACAAGAAGTGTTGATATAGCGTAGAAAGTATATTCTATTAATCACTCAGCAAGCACAATGATCTCAAACACACAAATCGCCTTTATTTATTCATCATAGAAACGTTCTTGGGAGAGTCACAAAAATAGCGCACTAAAATACACAGCAACAAATCACAGCCAAGGATTTTCCTGGTGGGAAATGATATCCCAAGGTCAACTGATCATCCCATGCTCGGAAACGTAAAATCCAAAAGTAAGGCATTTATCAAGCGAGTTCTGGGGATCTAACATCCCCAACAACCACACAGTTATAATTTGTTACAATATATATATACTATGTTATATCATTCGTAAGATAGAGGAGCTCTTTTGGAAGTCTAGTTTCCTTCCGCTCTCATTCGTGTATAAATTATTGACATGAAAGCATTGTTGTGTGTCAGTGGCTAGAATATCATCGATGTTGCATTCAGAGAATCTGAAATTTAGGTCCATTCGTAGTCAATTTCATGGTATATCAATCACACCCTCCGTTAACTTTGGCATTTTTTTCCTGTTCTTCAACGGAATTTGTCATAGTTAACCTCTAATGTTTGTAAAGAAAGTAATTTTTCTAGAACACAAAAGACCCATTCATTATCATTATTATTCTGTTAATTTTTTTTCGCCTTCAAATTCAAGGAAGAAGTTGATCGTTGTCAACAAATGAAATGGGAAAATATGCAAACTTATTTAAATCGTCTTCAAACTGAAGCATTACGTTTAGCAAATTTATGTTGTGTTGATGAGAAAATTATTCAATTACCAAATGATAGTGATAAACATGATCCAGAAATATTAGTAAATCATTTAGAAACTATATTAGAACAATTAAATCAAACTTATCAATTATATCGTCCTGTTTATGAATGTATTGGTCAATATGAATCATATTGGAAACAATTAATGGATGTAGAAACACGTCTAAAAGATCCTGCAATCTTCTCTAATCGTGGTGGTATTTTATTAAAAACAGAAAAAGAGAAAAAACGTTTACTTAAAGAAGTGGAACGTACCGAGAAAGAAACATGCACAGCTATTGAACAATATGAACTGAAAAGTTCATCAAATTTTCTTTTATCTAACGGTAAAACATTTAATGAACATATTCATGATAAATGGACTATGTATAAAACATTTAAAGATACATCGAAATCACGTCGTTCCACTATTTCAACACCGAATAATATGAATACTAGTATTTCAACTGTCAATAATAATAATACTAATAGTAATAATAGTCCTCAAATGAATACACATAATAATCAATCCGGTAATACTACACGTCCAACTTCAGCTAATTTAATTGGATGATCAATTAATTATCTGTAGCTTGAATTGAATGAAAATAATCGATTTTTATCCGATCTTCCCATTTCATTGCTGTACATGCATATTTACATGTATATTTATGTATGTATGTATGTATGTATGTATGTTTCTTTGTTTGTGAGTGTGTGTGCAGACATACACTTTGCAGACATGATTTGATGTGTTGTAGGCTGTGAATTTCATCTCATAAAAACAACTACTACTACTACAACACTAGTGATTCAATGTGTTCAATGGATAATAATGAGCAAGCATTCAGTTTATATATAAAATTTTTGTCACTTATAACTTCTTTTCTCCTACTTTTATTTTTTCTTTCATTGCTTTGAGCATAGTTTTCAATCATATGATTTTCTTATTCTTTGTTTAATATTATTGTTTTTGTGTGTGTGCTTGTGTGTGTGTGTGTGTGTAAAAAGGAAATCAGTTGGATCAACAATGGCTACTTATCTGTCTATCTATCTATATACATCACAAATTAGCTTTTCTACTAAAACAAGTTCTCAATGAAATCTAATTGTATTTATCGACAATACTACTACTACTGCTCACCTGTTTGCTTTGTTCTCATCAGAAAAGTTGAATGGTACTTCATGTATTTATCTTTCTTTTTTATTAAGCTGGTCATTTTGGTTGAGTTTTTTTATTGTCTATAGCAAAAACATAATGCGAGCCAGTCAGTGTATGTTGTTCATTTTTAGTTTTACGGTGATAATGTTTATATGCTTTGTTTGTTTTTCTGTGAATTACTTACATCCCTATCTATCATTGTGCAATAAATAGTGTGTTTGAAAATTTTGTTTATTTAAAATGTGGCCTACTACTTTTTTTCAGTAAATTATGTCATTGATGCGGGAAATGCTTTTCTTTGTGTAGTTTCATTTTTAACAAAAATTTAATATGAGCGCGCGTTGTAGTTTATTCTTTGTTCAATTTGGTGAAGATAATTCATGGTTTGGATCGTTTTGAATATTGAATTTTGATTTACGCTTCTTTCAGTTTCGTTTTTTAAAAACAATCATTGGGCTTGTTGTATACTAGTAAGTTTGTCATTCATGAACAGACTCTATTAGAATAATAATAATAATTTTGTTGGTTGTTGTAATAAAAGTAGTTTTCTGTTCAATAATTTTGCATAAAAAAGAAGTAATTTCAATGTATAAATTTTGTAAATTACTTTGAGTTTAATGTATCAATTATTGTCATTCGAGTTAGTTACGTTTTTTTTATGTGAATAGTAAATAGTGATTAGTAAAATGACCAATCCATCAATATACTACAATTAGAGTGCTTAGAACAAAATAGAGTTCTTTGTATCACAACGTCTGTGAGTGATCGGTAGAGTTTGTTTTGATGATAAATTGATATCAGCTAGACATCTATTAAAAAAAACAATAAGAAAATACTGGGCAGCAGTTTTATATTTTCTTGGCGTTTCTCAGCAGCTCTCTCTAACATCTACACATAAGATTGAACTCAGAACGATTGCGTCTATCAACAAATGAAATACTTTTAGTTAACTGAGTTGACATTCAAAGTTCACCTGAACTAAAATATTATTCCATTACGATGCTTAGAACTTTAGACAGTCAATCAATGATAGGCTAATATAAAGTTAATTAGTTTGACTAATTCACTGCCACCCATTTTGTTAACAAATAGATGAACATATTCGTGCATTGAAATATTATAACATCTGTATAATCAGTCTGTAATTTGTGTCAACATAAATTATCATTAACTGCCTTGTTCCCGATCAAACAGTTGTACATCGTTTGTCAGTGTGTCTATGACCTTACAGATTATGACAGATGCTTTATGTGTCAAAAAGTTCAAATTGATAAAAACACATTGAAGCTTATCTTGGTTGATGATAGATTTTTTTGACGCGAAACATGTATAGGCTTTATTTCCTTCCCATTGGTTGTTTTGTAAATATTTCGTGAAACTGTTTGAATCAGAGAGTATGAGCATTACTATGTATACGGGAATCAAGTAAATGTAGTTTACTTGAGAATCTCTTATTTCGAAAACATAAATTACTACAATTTGTACAAGAATGTGAAATAAACTTAGTTGAAAATGAAAGCATAAAAACCACGAAACAGAAATGAATAGTGCAATAAAATTAATACAAATGAATAATAACCAAAGCATAACGAAGAATAAGTTTATTGATAGCTAATTAAACAAAGGGTGAATTATACCACAGTGTTAAGAATCTAAAGTGAAAAATATTCTCTGTCACTTTGAATATAGACATCACTAACATTAATCAACTGTTCGGAACTGACACCCGAAATTCTGTTTCTTAATGTAAATAAAACCGCTTCGTTTCTATCAGTAGATAATTTTACTTACTTACTTACGCCTGTTACCCCCGATTGGAGCATAGGCCGCCCACCAATTTTCTCCAACCAACTCTATCCTGGGCTTCGCTTTCCAATTCTGTCCAATTTTTGTTCATCCTTATCATATCTTTCTCTATTTCTCGGCTTAATGTGTTCCTTGGCCTTCCTCTATTCCTTTTGTCATGAGGGTTCCAAGTGAGGGCTTGTCTTGTGACGCAGTTAGGTGCTTTTCGTAGTGTGTGTCCTATCCACTTCCACTGCTTCTTCCTGATTTCCTCCTTTACTGTATTCTGGTTTGTTTTCTCCCACAGTACGTTGTTGATGATGGTGTCTGGCCAATGGATCCGAATTATTTTGCGTAGATAATTATTTAAGTCTATAAAGAATTTCGTTTCATTTGTCAATATTATTGTTTAATTGGTTTGTTTTGAATATTTATTTTTAGTCCTGCTGAGTGTTATCTTTTAAAAATTTCAAATAATATAATATATTCATAAGTAACGATCATTTAATCGATATTATCTACCATAAAATATTACTTTACAAATCAATAAAATAAATTTCTTACAAAAAGGAAGAAAAAATTCAAATGTACAATAGAAATTATTATACCACATGAAAATAGATATAATTATCTATGATTGGTCGATTTACTTCTTCGTCATATGATCTGACTCATCAAGAATTGATACTTGTGTATCAGTATTCAATTAACATTTTTAATGAGACCACTAATTTTCATAGAGGTAAATGTTCCGGAAATATAAATATAAAACGTGTGGATTGTTTGTATGCTTCTTAATTACCTAAATTACTGAATTGTTCAAACTAGATTCCAGGTTTTATGCCAGGGGGAAATAAAATTTCTTCAAGCTTTAAAAATTCCCAACATGACTGCATAAGTTTATAATCTCATCTAATATTTAGATGTTCGGTGATTTAAATCTTCAGAAACGAGTTATGATCTACCAAAGATTAGGTATAAACGAATAATTTAAACAACTAACGTCCAATTATTTAAAATCCTACTACTTCACTTCCTACTGTTTCGGGTGACGATTACTATCACTAGCCACTATATACTTGAAACGCGACTCCTAGTTGAAAACTGTGACTCAATACTAATTAAATGAATTATCAGAGTCTGAAACTGGAGCACTAACTAGTAAATCGGTGTGATGGATGACCAAACTAATAAAATAACCATAAAATTAAATAGCAGGGATTCAAATAACCTACTTACTTACGCCTGTTACCCCCAATGAAGCTTAAGCCGCCAAACAGTATTCTCCAACCTATTCTATCCTAGGCCATTTCCAGTTCTGTCCAATTTTATTTCATTCTTTTCCTGTCTGTCTCCATTTCTTGGCGTAATGTGTTCACTGACCTTCCGCTTTTCATTTGATCTTGAGGGTTCCCAGTCCAAGCACCTGTAGGTTGTATCTTTTCATCTCTGCAGCGATTAAGAACAATCTTCCGGTCTCCCACACTGTTAAAACAACAATACCAAGTTTGAGTTTTGGGAGAATAATAACTTTTGGAATGCAGGTAATTTCTGGTGACAAGTTTTAAACTGAATGAAATATGCGTTCCAGATTTTACTGTTACTCATCACTCAACACCAATACAATTTTACATGATATTATATCTCTAAGTCAGTTTGAAAAAAGTGGGGGTAAAAGATATTCGTAATCGTTTGAATTATTTTGTTGTAGAACACAAAGTATTTAAATGTGACAAAAAAAATCGGACTCAATCGTCAATTAATTATGTTGATATCAACTTCTAGGAGGGTCATATATTGTAAGAGTTTTTTCGATTAAACATCTACTTTGAGGTAGTTTATTTAAATGATCAGTGATTCTAATTGACCAATCATATCAAAATGTAATTTTATTTTCGGGACCACATTATAAGTGGAGATAATGGGGAGAAAGATGTTGGTCAATTAGCAGAAAGCCTAGTGTCTCACTTTCCATTGGAGTACTATGGAGCAAAAAAGCTATGGAAATTAAAAAAAACTAAAGCTCAGAGAATACCACACTGACTGCAAACAAGTATCACTAACAATTCATAAAATTGATTATTGTGACGTTTTTTCAAAGCAAAGTATTAAGCTACTTAGATTAGTTATCAGTAGGCAAATAATTTAAATATAATTTCCAATGTATGCTGTTATTTATGCTGCATTATTATAAACAAAAATTCAACTGATTTATAGAAATTTCATTTGTAATCAATAGTGGCCTCCGCTCAACACAACAAACCTATAAAATACAGTGGAATCTATCGTTGATTTTCACTGACTTACTGAGAAATCAAAATTTAGATTTCGTAAGTAATAGTTTGAACCCAACAGATCAATGGTTGAAAAATTCAGCGTTTAAAAGGTATCTGATTTTAGTCTCACTGCGGATATAAACACAAGGATTTAGTTATATGTATTGAACTAGTTCGAAACAAGGCGAAATAAACGTTTTGAATTTCGCTGTTAGTAACTGTTAACCATAGATTTTATTATGTATTTCTCAGAATCACTGAGATTTACACATAAAAATTAACTAGCTTATTAAGGCTGCTTTATAGCAGACCTTAGAATAGACGTGGAAATCTAAAAGAGCCCACTATTTCATAGTTAAGGTTAGCGACCATCAACATACCTGTCATTTTATCCCCTTCTATTTCCAAAATCTTATTTGAGATAAATCATAGTTTTGAACGGACGGCTTTTTACTAAATTTCATGGTGTTGTATTCAGTCAACAAAACTGAAAGGTCTCGGTTACCAGTAGTGTCTATAAGGTATTTGTAGACGTTCTTGATGGAAATAATATCTATGACAATTCAACTGTAAATACTTTAGTCCATTGGGAGGTCAATCGCGTCCTGAATAACTCAGCGGTAACATCTCAGACTATGAAAGTGGACGATATGCTTTTGAATACACCAAAACAATACCCGGTTATCTTCATGTCTTGTGTTAGTCTTGTTAATCATGTGTCAAAAAGACATACAAAGATGTGTATATTTATTAAATAATGTAATTATTGAAAGAAACCGATTAAAATTTAAATAGTTATGTCTTTAGATACACTTAATTTCAATAAATTACTCGTCAAACAATCGACAAATTATCATGAAAAACTAACATTGTCTGAATACAGACAACAATGAAGTGCGAAATCGAACAAACAAACACTCATATTTCTCTGTTTACTAGTCAACATACACCGAAGCTTTATTTATTTGTATTCATATTCAATGTTACATCGAATATTAGTAAAACAAGATCAACAACTGATACAACATGAAGTTGAAAGGTGTCTCCTACAAATGAGCCATTCAAATAACAACTCAACTACAATAACTGAAACAAGCATAAAACAATAATAAATTGTCATCAGATGTTGAATATATAAATGGTTAAACTTACAACAATTAAAACAACAATGAAAGAATTCATTCTATGCTCAGTTAATGAATCGTGAACACTGATAACAACGAAGAGTTAAAAAAAAACATGAAGACTATTCATCATCTACATTCTTAATTAAGTATATTTTTTTCATTTATGAAATTTATTTTTCTGAAACAATCATCAGAGTTGAAAGATTTTTAAATATATAACAAATAGAAATCAAATTTAATTAATTTATCTTTTAGAAATTTCTTCAATCTTGCACATAAAATTCACTTATTTCTAGTTTAAACTGATCGATACTTTGATGAACTTTTTAACAAACAAAAAATTATTTATTTAAATATAATTTCAGTAGTTTTTATCTTTTATGCTAAAAGATAAATATTTTGAATTGCTAACATAGAGAGAGAGAGAGAGAGAGATGTGTCAATTAATGAATTTTGGGGTGATAGGATTAATGCACATAGTGAATTATACTTATATCTGAAGTTGGATTCTGTTATATATGATGTATATTATGAAATTTATTAAAAACTGAGGCAAATTACGAAGAAAACTGAAGCTGTCAATTTTTTTAGTGTATCAATGAGATAATCATTTGATAAATCTTTATTTTACGTTGTCTACGGCATTCACATGAAGTTCCATTTTTGATGAAAACTAAATTTCAAGACAATCAATTTACGTAGATATCAAACAGTAGCATTTGATTAGTTAACTGTAACTGTCCAAGTAAAGTATATTTTAAATTTTTTCTTTTGGAGTCCTAGCATGAGTGATAGATAATTTTCGATGATAAAAAACTGTATTACTTTCATGTATTATAGTAGTTTTGGGGATGTTAGATCCCCAGAACTCGCTTGATAAGTGCCTTATTTTGTTTGCGAGCATGGGCTGATCAGTTGACCTTGAGATTTCATTTCCCACCAGGAAAATCCATGACTGTGATTGTCTGCTGTGTATTTTAGTGTGCTATTTTCGTGACTATCCCTAAGACGTTTCTATGATGTATGATGAACGAGAGTTGTGTGCTTGATTGTATTGTGCTTTCTGGGTGTTGTAGAATATACTTTCTACGCTTACCAAGACTTCTGTTTTACAGTTTGGGATTCAAGGTAGCCTACCTGGACGCTGGTAATTGTCTCGTTCGCGTTTATCGACTAAGGTGAACTCGTAATAGCTTCAAGTGTACCAAGTGACGAACATAACAAGTAGATGAATACAATTTTAGGATTATCAATATTTCATGTCACTTGTATTCTTGTAAACCTTTATCATATTGAACAAACTATTGTAAACTTTAGAAAATCGAACATATATATTATTCTATTCTGTTTGATGAACATACAATGACACTTGATTGTTCAATGATGTTATTAGTATTCACAAAATAGTCTCACAAATTTACAAAGTTTTGATGTGTTTAAAAGGCCACATGAAACCTATAAAACATACTAATTAATGAGTTATTATTCAAATAATCGGATCAAACTTGATGACAGATCATAGCTTTAGAGCCTAAAAAAGTATAGTGTCTGCATTGGTTTTTTAAGTAAAAAGTCGAATTTATGAGTGTTAATTAAAGTTAACTACTTAGACATTCTTCAGCAGATGGAGAGTTACCTCACTTGCCTTCTCCAATTCACTTCGTTTTGCTTGTAAGCTTTCCATTCTCATGTCTGCCTGCATAGATGAATGCATATAATAAATTAGTCCGCAACATTGTATTTAGCTTCTTACTACCGCTTTCGCACAAACAGGAAGTGTCTAGGTATGATATAAAGAAATGGACAAGAATATTCATTTCACTGCACACTTGATCATTTGTCTACACAGGGGTCCAATAGTGAGCCGTTAAATAAGTAGGGCACTCTTTTCGTAGAAAAAGCTAATATTGATCTTTAGGCTGTAGATTTTTCACAAAGCTGATATAAAACAAATGTATACTATTGTTTGTACTTTCTTTTTCGAGGCTAATAAGCGAGTAAGTTTATCTCACTGAAAAAAACTCATAAATTTCATAAACATAAAAAAAATGAATAATTTTTTATGTTCTAGAGAGAATAGAACAATACTAGTAATATTTCATTCGATATTTTAATGATATTGAACAAGGATCTGTAACAGTCTAACATTTGCCAGTTGTGGGTAACAATAGCTACTAGTGTCATTACTTATCTAAATATAAATTTTATGAGTCGCACATTACTTAATTACTTACTTACTTACTCACCCCCCATGGAGCATAGGCCGCCGACCAGTTTTCTGCAACGAACTCTGTCTTGGGCTTCCCTTCCCAGTTCCGTTCAATTTTCGTTCATTTTCACATTTCGTTCTCTATTTGTCGGCGTAATGTATTTTTTGGTCTTCCTCTTTTCCTTTGACCTTGAGGTTTCCAAGTAAGGGCTTGTCTTGTGACTCAGTTGGGTGCTTTCCACAATATGTTTCCGATTCACTTCCACCACTTCATGAGTTACTCCTCCGGTGGAATCTGGTTTACTGTTTCTGATGGTGTCCGGCCAATGGATCTGAAGTATTTTGCATAGATAACTGTTAATGAAAACCTGAATCTTCTGGATGATGGCTTTTGTAGTCCTCCAAGTTTCCGCCCCATACAGTGGAACTGTCTTGATGTTTGTATTGAATATTCTAACTTTGGTGTTTAATGACAGTTGTTGTGATCTCCAGATGTTTTTCATTTCTAGAAATGCTTTCCTTGCTTTGCCGATCCTCGTCTTCACATCTTCATCAGATCCACTTTGTTCGTCAGTGGTGCTACCTAGATATGTAAAGGTCTTTACATTCCTCATAGCCTCACCGTCATGATTTGATTGGTGCACATTGTGATATACCGGAGAATTTCGTTTTCCGCTTTGTGTATATTGAGACCCGCTGCTGCTACACTTGTCGTCTTCTCTTGCATTTGTTGTTGCGTGTGCAATAGAAGAGCCAAATCATCTGTGAAGTCTAGATCGTGCAGCTGCATCCTGGCTGTCCATTTGATACCGTGCTTCCTTCCATATGTTGATGTCTCCACAGTCCAGTCGATCATCAGGAGAAATAGAAAGGCTGAAAGTAAGCAACCTTGCCTGACTCCGGTCTTCACCTCAAATGAGTCTGTCAGCTATCCTCCATGCCCAATTTTTCAGTTATCATGAGTCTCACATTGTAAATCAATCGGCTTAACTATGAAATATGTTTAGTTATATTTAAAGAAAAGGGAAATAACGTGTAGAACTAATCAAATTAATCTCTGATGAATCTATATCAACAAATATTGAATTAGGTAATATATCACGAGAAAGATATACACAAAACTAATATATATATATTTGATATTTAACAGTTTGATTGTTTTCCAAATCACTACTCTAAGTGATACCGACTTGCATATGACATGACATGACAATAATTATAATGAATGTTCTTAATATACGAAAATCAACACATTAATCATAATGATTATAATCAAGAATAATATACATGTATTAGCCATTTGCATGTTTGTACAAAGAAAAAACGGAGGCAAAACGAATTCATTGATTACATTTTTTTGCAATGATAACTCATCATCAATGTAAGTAAATCAGTTAGAACAACAATGTGTGATTACACCACTCTATGACTGTTATCATCTATTGTCAAATACAAATATGGCTCTATTTAAAACAATAAGTAGTAGGTGTTGTTTTATACACTAAGTAGTAGTTTGACATTGAGTTGTTTTATTGTATATATAAATGAATGAATAGATAGAGAAAAAAATAACCAACAAGACAATGTTATTGTAATGATAGAATTATTCTCTGACACTTATTCACTTGTTGTTACTCTTTTGTTTCTGTAAATAAACGTTTCAATATGTATGATAGAAAGATTTTAAGGGAAATACTCTAATCATTATATTTTTATTAAATGTATACTCCCAACCAATTAGAGTAAATTAGATTTTGTAACATATAAATATTGGAACATTGAATCTGTTCGATTAAAACAATGAATGAATGAATTTAATTTGGTAGTAATAATCGTCAATCTGTCATAATTTTAATATTTCTAGTGATTCAGAAAGTTCATTTGAAAATATATCGAAAAAATATCATTAATTATTCATTATCAATAGCATAAAATACAGATTTTACAGAATAATAATAATAATGCAATGGCTAACTATACTTTGTTATTTGTTAGTAATATTTTCAATGAATTGGTTAATAATTATTAATACAATGGAGTTTGATGATACATTGAGAAATGAATATGATGGTAAGTTAATTTCTTTTAAAAAAAAACTATTAGAATCAAATACAATTATTGCTGATAATTATCATTCTTATTCTTTTTGAGTATAGAGTTGTGGAGAATATAGAGTTTCATTGAAATCATGAATTGATCAGTCGATCAAACTAATGAGAAGTTGTGACTAGTGGATGTGAAGCTGGGCTAGTCGAAGAGAGAGTGTATGAGGTCGCGTAACACCATGGATTGATCGAAGTTAGACATTAACAGCATTTTAGGCCGACTCAATGGTCCAGAGGCTAGATATCCTCTCCCAAGATCGGAGGCCCTGGGTTCGATTCCCGCGAGTGGGGCTTATGAATACGAAATAGTAAAGAGTTCCATAGTAGGACAAAATGGCCGTCCAGTGCTTCCAGGTCTTTTGATGGTGGTCGATTCGTGATTTCAATGAATCTTATTTTCATAAATGAATTAAACATTGATTTCTAAACTCTATTAGATTTGATTTCATTTTACTCTGTGCCATGTTAACTATTTATGAAATTCTACCATTAAGATGAATAACCTAATTATTGAGGACTCCTATCTCTACTACTATTAGAATTGAATTGACTATTTTCTTCACTCTGTGCTAATGTGGTATGGCAACTTAAACTCATGTACGTACGTATCAAGTTCTACGTTCTAGCTGACTAACTGACTGACTGATTAAGCGTTCACTTTTAAATAAAACACAAAAATATTCCTTTGACATGCTAGGGATTCATTTCTTTGTAAAATTGTTAAAACATAATTTTTAATTGCTAGAAATTATTAGTCATATTCGAAATCATCAAAAATTAATATTTAAAGAGAATAGAAATAGGTAATGAATTAACACAGATTATATGGAAGTTATTGGTTTTTGTTTCAAATATGTTTAAACTTACTAGCGCTTATTGGTAAGATACATAATTGACTTGTTTATAATTATGAAATATTCATGAATGTTAAATTGTTGGAAAGTTTTGAAATGATCAGTTCATGAGTGAGTGAAGATAAATCAGTACAAATTCAAAACAGTGGTTCCCTTTGATAAATTTGAACAGAGAAATGAGAAGATATATTTTGTGAGATAGTACCATTTCGTGCTTTCTCGTCAGTCACATACAAGCAACATGTTATTTGTGTAAATACAGTTTTGAAGATAAGGTTAAAATTTCTTATTTAGCATGACATTCAGTACAAAATAAATAGGAAAGTGTTGTAATTACTTACAATAAACATGACAATTTCTACAGAAGAAATAATGAACTCTACGGAGTAAAACGATTGTTTATTATAGAGTCTGATTGAATTTTGTTTTCAAGTCCTAATATGTTAACTTTTCATTTTTCTAACTCTTCGATGATTGATGACAGTTAACAAGAAGTCTATGGTTTATATTCTTGATTAAAATAGTTTATCAGTGCTTTCGTTATTGTAAGAACAAGACATCGATGCTGCTGGGGGTCAAAGCAATTTTTGATATAATTATAAATCGTATCATCTTGTCTAGTCTCAACTGTAAGGTACTTCAAAAAATGCTTAAATTAATTAAAGTATTCATATTATCATTCTTTAATGGTAAACCTTAAAAAAAAAATGAAAAGTAAATGCTAACACAATTAGTGAGTAATTGTTTGTTCAACAAAATTATATTTACTTTAAAAAAAATATGTAAACTTCGAAATTGATAGTGAGCAGTTGGAAATGAGAATTTTTTGAAAATCCATAAGGTATTAAATGTTATCAAGTAGTACGAAAATCGAGGCACTAGTCAAACAAATAATATAATATAAGCTACTAAAATAAATAAATGTATTTTACAGAATTATAGCTGAATTTTTACATAATTTGAAGATGATCTCCATCATATTCTGATAATAAGTGGAAAAAAAATTATAAACTAGTTTAGTACATGTTCAAAAATTATCCATCCATGTTTACTCATTGACTGTACAAGTGTTTGTAGTTGAAAAACTCAAGCTTACTGATCAGTAAAATCATGATAAACTACGTTGAATTCCAGCTGTTCATTTTTACAACTAAAATTCGTTTTTTGATAACATTTCCTTCTTCAATGTTAGTAAGTTAAACTTGCAAATCAGTTGAATCCACTTGAATCTTTTAGATGTTTTAAGAAAATACTTAGCTTCCTGACCAAGAAGAAATTTTTTTTTCGCATGTACATTATAATTTTTATGATTAAATCACTAATTGTGACGATAGAATCGACAACACTGAACTGTTGAATTGTTACCGGTTCTTGTATTGTTGTTGTTCGCCATTTGATTGTGACCATTTTGATCTCGTGTGCTTTTATGAGTATGAGGATGGATGTTACTTCCCAGTGTCCCACACCGTGGAAGGGTTTTTGCTGTCAGAAGAGGCATCGGCCTCATGACTTCCAAAGGAACTCGGCTTTCATCATGAGACGTCATAATTTTTCTAAATGAAGACCTTCCAACTCCCAGAGTAGAGTTCAAATGGTTAGGTTACTGGTTTTCGATCATAAGTGTCGCCAAAACATTGCCCGTGTATCATGGGACAGCAGAATAAGCTATATTGTTGTTAGGAAATGGCTGCTAGGTAAGGATGCAGATCAATAGACGAAGTAATGAAACTTCACCAGTTGACGTGGGTGGGACATGTGTTACGAATGCCCAACCAACAACTGCCTCGACGAGCTATGTTTTGTGCTGTAGTAGCAGGTTGGAATAAAGCTAAGGGTGGCCAAACCAAAACATGGCATAAATCCATGAATTCACTGACAACTGAACTGAGTCATGTCGGTAGGTGTCGATTACCTAGTTTAAGCCCGCGAGATGATAATAATCGATGGTTAGAGACCCTGAGTGACATCACTCAAAACTGTTTGTAACGGCGCAGATGAATTCATTCTTTGTGTTCTCTCAAGTCCTAACCTTCTGAATTTCTCATTACCTTTATCTTTTTCTTATTAAGTTTATTTCACTAGATTCTACTTCTTGAATAATATCTTTGAAGCCTAATCTCTCCAATTACTGCTAACACTTCTACTACCTCTACTACTATTGGATTTGAATTGACAATTACATCTCTGTGCTACTGTGGTACGGCAACTTGAACTGATCTACTTGTATACGAAGTTTTACGTTTCTGTTAGTGGATTGATTAACTGTTCGCCATAGGAATACTCAATAATTACGTAATGTTCACCAAAACCAAATATGTATGTCTGGTTGTCATTAAGGAAAAAAATGTTACTAAGGCGCACAAAAGTTATATGTAAACGCAATCACCAAAATAAATAAGTTCCTACTGTATTTCTAATATAGCTTCGTAACATATTGGATAACCACAGTTTATTGTTTCCCCAATCACTATAGTGATATGAAGAGATAAGTATCATATAAATTTGTTGAAAAGAAACATATCAATTAATTGTTTTAATAGAAAATTTACTCCTTCACCTGTAAAAATAATCTCAACAATAAGCCACTGATTTCTAGGTTAGATTATTATACATAGATAGAATAAACTTTATTCTGAAGTTAGTTTTCATCACCGACAAATGTAAGTTAGGCAGTAAGTGACGCTTGATGAAAAGAGTTGCGTATTATACCGATACTGCTGTCTAGTTTTATTCAATTTTCAATTTGTCTACAATTGTCAAAATTCTAAGAATATTTGATAGAATCGTTCGAGAGCATAATGATGATTAAATGTTTCCAAAAAGAGTTAAACAATTTTTAAACATATTCATGAATTACGTTCAAGTATCAATATCTTACAGAATAAATAATTCAATCGATCAACATGATTACTTGGTCAGCTTTAGTACAAGATGATGACAAACGAATCACACATCAAATACCATAGTCTGTGTGTGTGTGATCTCTGTTATGTATAAATTATTCTTCATGAGTAGACATATACAAATAATTTTGTTAAATTATTAACTAAGGTCTAGAAATATGATGGACTGATTGAAACAAGACATTAACATCGTTAGTTGTCGGCTCAAAGCCCAAGAGTTTGATAGTTTGAGTGTGACACTGTAGTTCGCGAGTTAAACTCCTGCTTGTGGATGTTAAAATCACTCTTGATGGAGATGTCTTGGAGGACGTTACCACCTTTACATATCTTGGCAGCATCATCGACAATCAAGGTGGATCCGATGCAGATGTGAGGGCACGGATTGGCAAAGCAAGGGCTGCATTTCTACAGTTGAAAAATATCTGGAACTCCAAACAACTTTCAATCAAAACCAAAATCAGGATATTCAATACAAATGTGAAGACAGTTCTACTGTATGGAGCGGAAACACGGAGAACTACCAAAGCCATCATCCAGAGGATACAAGTGTTTATTAACAGCTGTCTACGCAAAATACTTCGGATCCATTGGCCAGACACCATCAGCAACAACGAACTGTGGGAGAGAACAAGTCAGATTCCAGTGGAGGAGGAAATCAGGAAGAAGCAGTGGAAGTGGATAGGACACACACTACGAAAAGCACCTAACTGCGTCACAAGACAAGCCCTCACATGGAACCCTCAAGGCAAAAGGAAAAGAGGAAGGCAAAAGAATACATTACGCCGAGAAATAGAGAAAGATATGAGAGGAATGAATAAACATTGGACAGAACTGGAGTGAGAAGCCCAGGACAGAGTTGGTTGGAGAAAACTGGTGGGCGGCCTATGCTCGATTGGGGGTAACAGGCGTAAGTAAGTAAGTAAGTGTGGATGTTAACTATTGATGAGTCATATACTAAGATGAAACGGCTGCTTAGTGCTTCCAGATTTTGAATGGTAGTCTAACATTGGTCGATTCAAGATTTCAATATTACTCAACAATCATCACAACCCTATAATGAGCATTAACTTAATCATTTAACCGTGTACAGTGAATGTACAATCTTGAAAATAAACCCGTTGTTAAGTATTTCAATATTTTGCGGATACTCTGATTGTAAATCGATTTCGGCATGTATTGGCCATTGAGTTAACATGAAATTCGCCTTA